CCACAAACAGATCTTTACACCACTGTGCAACAGCCTCGTCTGTTTTGGGCAGTTGCTCCATGAGACGCCTCTTAATGTGTACGTGCACCAGCAAGCGAGTGATGGAATGTCATCATCATCATTTGAATAGGCCTGATAGAACTGCAACTCATTCGAATATCCGACTAAGATATTTAAGACTCATAGTTGTAGGTTCAATTATTACATCTCCAGATTAAGGCTTATGTTTCAGTAGAAAAAGTAGAGGGAAAGCTAATACTTCTTTCAGCATGATCTAAAGATTTATATTCTTGCGAGTTTCTTTACTTCAACCCTGCAACTTAAATAATTTCAATGCTGCCATAAAACCAACCACAACTAGTTATCTAATTCCAGAAAAACCGATGACAAACAAACCCGTTGGCCTTCGATACCAAGGGTTCTAAAAGATCTGACCCGTTGGAGATATTTGACACCACATTCAGCCTTTATGCTTGGAGTAAATTTCACAATAATACAGAATTTACAAGTGAACTCAACGAGACAGGAGGCAAACTCTCCAAAGACGTATCAATACGAAACAGAGAAAGCAATGGTGAATAGTCAAATCAATGTGATTAAGCAAAGATATTTTACCTTGCTTTACACAGTTGGCTTGGAATCTGACTTACCACTGAAGATTCTCCTTTGAAAAGAGGCTAAGCAGTGTAGGTGAAGGTGAGGTTTTTGGAATAGCCACTGTAATATCGTAAATGGCCGGGACAAATGAACGCAAATGACTTACGGCTGTAACGAATCCCTGAAGCAACATGATGAAGCAGATATTTCGGCATAGAAAGAATGGTATCAATAAGGTATGTTGACAAAAAACGACGAGCAACTAAAGATAACCAGAACAGAAAGAATCCGACCTTTGTACGTGGAACTAAAACATTTCTAGGTATAGGCAATCCTTGTGAGATTGCATATTCTTGAGCCCCAAGAAGCTTTGCTTGCGTAAAGCGTGTTCCTTCTACGAAAATTGCCAACCAAAAGGGCCGTGGGTAGTTCTTTAAACGTTTAAGGCCTGACTGCAAATATAATTGGACAAGATTTTAACTGAGATAAACAAGGTTGTCTAGAAACAAATAAATACAGCAACACTTATGATCTTGGATATATGTGTATACCACCTAGAGAGCAAGCTTTTACCTTTAGAGTGCTTTCGTCCTTGGCCCATTTTCGTTCCAAAAACAGATACTCAGAAAACCAAATCGACCAGCCAAAGACCTGCAAATATCAGACATGAATTGATTCTTCACAATAATGCAAACTATAATCATTTTTTCCTCTTTATCGAAGAAACTTGCGAAAACAAAATGCGACATTCGAATTAAGTACTTACCGAGCTCATCCATCCCACACGTTTACATGCATGAATGTGTACTCAGGCATATGCAAATATGTTCGAAAATACCATGTAGATGTATGTCATCATCAGCTATTGTGATTCAAAATAGAAGACAACAAACACAATCTCACTGTTGAAAGTTTGAATGAAGAACACCTACGGCAATACATACCGGAAGGAATTTCAATGATTTCTTCATAACAGCTAATACACTGCCAAGACAACCCGATCGCTGTCAAAAGCGAATTTAATTGTATCTTAGCCAAAGAAAATGTTTAAAGAGGAAAAAAAGATTAAAAAGTTGGAATAGATTAATTACGGACCTCAGCCAAAACCCATCCAACTAACCAATCGATATCACTTCTATGGTTGGATATGAGGAGGGCATGTTCCTTACCTGAAAAAGTTAAAAATATCAAATGGCAAGAAACCTGTTCAAAACAATTAGGATTGAACAATACACATTATCTATACAATTCTAAGACTGACAACTAGGTTTCCTAGTAATGGAGATCGATGTTCATACCCATTAAATCTACACATTCCTGATCCTCGAACATTTTAATCTGCAAATAAAATGCCTCAGAGATCAAACTTAACTTCTAGGAGACCAAGGTATGAGATCCATGGTATCAGTTATTTTCCCACATTAACAAAAGTTGGCTCACTAAACATCTATCAGCCCTCGGAGAACATACAAAACTTAGTAGCAACGGTTTAACTCATATATGCATAAGTATTGAACGATTCGACAATGAACTGATCTTTAAGCCTATGGACAAAAAAAATACAACTTGACTTGCGCATCACGCTTTCATCTTTGACACTGCACCGACGAACTCACTTTCCGGTACCATTGTCTCTGTAACATCCGGAGTTACATCTTCCGAATCTCCATTCGCATTCATTGACTGAAAATATCACAACACTAGAATCCGAAAGGAGGTACAAGAAACCTTTGAGTGGGATCTATATATTGTAGCTTTGTTGGAAATGGAAGTATAAAGCATTTAGGCATTTGATCATCAAAATTGGCTTTGAAATTTCGGAAAAGGTTTGGAATAATGATTCAAAACATGTGATTTAAACAGAGGAAATATAAGGAAGCAACTAATACCTTAACTCCTGCCCACCAATCAACAAGCCATATTATTTCCAGCAACAATAACTCTAAAGCCACCCTATTGATCCTTCTATAAGTGTTCTTGGACAGCGGCCAAATGAGAACAAAACTAATTGTCTGGAATAAAGAAAAGGGGAGCATCAATTTGACAACATAAAAAAATGATCATTCATCCTAAAAACAATATTTACACACCAGTTAATCAAACTTGTTTAACACTGTCAATTCTAACTTCTGCAAAAACAAGAGTGATGGACCCATAAACCCCATTTTCAACCAAATTTATAGCTCAGAGATAGATGTCAATGTAGGGATGTAAATGACTCGAGCTTGAACGAATAGAGTTATTTTCATGTTCGATTGTTTATTTTTGAATATATTCAAGTTCCATTCATATTCGTCTAAATTTTTAGAATCATGTTCTTTTTCGTTTATCTTATTTAAGTGTTTGCGTTTGCTTGTTTAATGTTGGGTAACATGTTCTTTGAACGACAGCAACTATTTCTCTCTTTAATCGTTTTATTTTCAAGTTAAAAAATGATGAAATCACGCAACTAGTTCTTAAAATTTCTTAGGGTTCATATTTTGAACTCCAAAATTCGCCTTATATTCAATTTAATCTCTATCTTCACCGATATTAAAATATTAAAAAAAATAAAAGGAAAATGAGAATGGTAAACAAGTTTATGAACCAGCCAATAAATGAGTGTTCATAAACATAAACAAATGAAACACACATTTGTTCATATTCATTCATTTGTTAAATGTACGTAAAATTTTCATCTATATTTATTTATTTAATTTAATAAACGAAAGTTATAAGAAAAATTCGTTCAACCCCGTGCATTCGCATCCTGGGTGCAAATGCAAGTCCATTATCAAAAAATAGAAACATAGAGACCCATTAACCAGCATTTTAAAAAACAAATGTTAAATCCCATTCTAGCTACATTCATTAGCTCATAGATAACATAGATTGAAAACCCAGATGTAAATGCAAGTTCATCAATCATCTCAGCTCAAAAAATTTGAAATGTAGAAACCCATTTTACCGGCATCTTTTAAAGAGAAAGAAAAAAGAACCTGAAAGAGATTGACGAGGAGGCCGGAGATGAAGAAGAGAAGGCTTAATGGGACGATGACAACAGCCGCCGCAATAGCCATCGACACCCACCACCAATTGGCTTCTCGAGATTCGCAGAAAAAAAAAAGATTCGTTGGTTCAATTTACTTGTACACGAGGAGAACATTAGTATATCTTACGTTTTCCTTTTATTTTGTGGGAATTGAATTCGAATTCATTCAAAGTTTTCCCTGTTTCAAGCAGATTTTTTATTTTAATTATTATGAATAGAAGTTGACGAGTTTTCTTTCTTTTCTTCTCTGAGTGTTTAGGGAAAAACATTACTATTATTAACAACAAATAAATCTTTTAATACGAAGATTATCATCCATTTAAAACTTGCATACCTTAAATCCTTTTATAAATTTATTTATTTTTACTTTGTAACAATATTTATCAATTAAAAGATCGATCCCAATTTTTTTTCTAAAAAATATAAAAAAAAATTATAAGTTTTATACCACGGGTAGGTGGATCTCAATCAATCCAAAATAAGATCCGTTCATATCGTATAATTTTTTTTAATTTTAATTTTTTAAGATTATTAGATAAGTAAAAATATACTATTAAAATTAGTCTTATAAAATGAAAAGATATACGCTAAACACTAATATATTAGTTTTATTTCATTGAGATTAACACTAAATTTTATACTAAGATGGCTGAAACACTGACGATTTGTTTGATTGCTTAATAGAATCTATGACAACTACGATGATTTTTTTTAATAATCTATGGTGATTATATGATATTATTTATTTATAATATTTTTTTTAATCATTGACGACATTCACACCCACATACGAATTTATTAGAACTCAGGACCTCTAGCGATAACAATATTCTCTTTAATCATTGAGACTATATAAATTTCAACAACGACAATATTATGTGTTCTTTATTAACGTTAGTATTAATTATGTTTAACGACATTTTTTATTATTCTACTCATTTTTTGACAATATTATTCAACTTTTTTTAAACATATAATCATATATCATAAATTAATAAAATGGTTTATGTAATTATTGTTTAAGGCCAAATTACATCAAATGAATATAAATTTTGTTAAACATAAGAAAGAAAGAAACAAAAAAAGAATACTACGGTGGAGATAAATGTAACAACGACGCTATCAGGAATAGGAACTAAGCAAATAGAACGTTACATCATCATCAGATCATACATACTGAGATAGCAGGCAACGGGAATCTAATTTAGAAATATTTGAAGAAAACAAAAAACCACCTAAACCTGCTCATAATTTCTTTAAAACATAAGACAGATAATCCTCAACCCCTTCCAACTGTTTCGCTGTAATAATAATGATAATAAATTGTGAAAATTGAAGTTTCCATTGTAAAACTAACCTCCTCTCTGCATTCACCTTCTTCTCTGATTTTCCTTAAGCATTCAATCACCAGCAGAATCCGGAAAAAAATACGAATGTTATTTACCAAAACCATTTTTGTTCTCTCTACCTCAGGAGGGCTCAGCGAAACCGGTTTCAGTTTTGCTGAGCCACAAGTTGATCAAGCTGCATTTGCTCGAGCCAAGCACCTAAAGCAGCAGCATTATCCGCCGGATAAGAGTTCATGCTAGAACCCTCACCTGAGACGGGTGCTGCTATTTTCTCTTTGATCTCAGTGGGAGATTCTTTTACAAGGGACTGAACCCATGATAAATCGGGCTCGTCTCCATTACCGAGCTCAAATGAGGACGACCTGCGATGCTTGCCTAGCCCATCAGAATTGACAGCCCAGTCTGGCTTCCCATCGGAGGATCCCCATTTTGACCATGAATTCCCCGGGGAACCAACAATGGCAGCCGAGCCGGAGCTGAGCTCCCTAGAGCTTAGGCTGCGAAATTCTTGCTGTTTCTCCCGTTGAGCTAACATTGAAACCCGAGAGCTCATCGGTGAGATAGGTTCGACATTTCGAGGAGACATCCTACCGGATAGAGAAGCCTGCAAGAGAGGGTGCTCTATATTTTTAGGAGAAAAATTTGTGTTTACAGGTGATAGCATGTTCTGCTGTTGCTGAAATTGATTGAGAACAGCGGACTTATGAGTTGGAGAGAAAACAGCAGCAGCCATTGCTTGATCAGAGTATCGAGGAGATGAGCTCTCAGCAGAAAATATATCATCAAGATTTGAAGGGGTCAGAGTCTTCAATCGTCCAGATCGGTTAAGAGAACTTGAACTCATAGATGGCTGATTAAGGCCAGATAACTCGTTCATCAATTGATGTTGCTGCACATCAAAATCAGACAGCAAATTGAAGTCTTCAGCTTGAATGTCTCTCGCATTAAGAGACGATCGCAACCGACTAGATTGAAGATTGCTTCCAGGAAGATGCAGGGCCGGAACATTAGGCTGTGGCCAGCCAACATTAGAGTGAGACATGCCATTCATAGAGGGAGACATGGGTGGAGTGAACGGTGATGGAGACATAACTGATACAGATGAAGGTGATCCAGGCAGGAGACTCATGGCAGCAGCAAAATCCATTGCTGTAGCACCGGAAGTACTAGATCGAGGAGATGGAACAGCTGAACCAGTGGAGACATAAAGAGGTCGGAGTTCCTCAGCAGTGTGAGCAAAGAAGCAGACTCTCCTTGCACAACTCGTACCATCCTTGCACAGCCGGGTCCGATACTGAGCAGGGTGTAGCCAGCATTCGAATACACCATGAGCATATTCACACATATCTCCTCGCCTACATGCCCCCTTGCGAAAATCAGGGCAAGGAACACAACTGTAATGGAACTTCCTAGGATCCCTTCTTCGAGCATTCTCTCCAGGGTGAACAAATGGGCACTCAGTCCAATCATGGGAGTAGGCACGTGAACAAGGCCGCACCTTGAATGAATACATTCGGAACTCATCGGTTGAATAGATGCTATTCTTGATGTCTGGAAGAGATGGATCAATTGGGTATTCTTTCTTCTCCGATGCCCAAGAAATAGGAACATCACTTGGCCTTGACTTCATGGGGGAATCTGAACCAGATGACAATAAACCATTTTCCTGCAAAGGAGAGAGTGGAGGGGAGCTGGAATTGTCAACGACTGACACACTTAAATTCCGTTCAAACCCGGAATTCTCAGTCGCAAGGAGTTCTTCAAGAGTTAATTTCACAGCCTGAAGCTTTGGAGGAACAACAATAACATCAACAGGAAGATGACCATTGGCATCAACCATATTTACATCAGCACCGGCTGTTAAAAGCAGCTTCACAACATCGATAGCATTAACCGCCCCACCCGAGGCAGCACAATGAAGGGCAGTGCTTTTGTCACGGCCGCACACGCGATTCACATTCGCATCCGAAGATGAAAGGATCAGCTCAATAATATCAATGCTACCATACGTAGAAGCAACCATCAACGGAGTTCTCTCCTCATTAACCATCTGTTTCAACCCTTTTTGACGACCATACCATAATCCAACCTCATCAACACCGAAAGGATTATGTTCAATCCACCTTTTAAAGCCCTCAACATCGTTGTTAGCAGCAAGCTCAAGCAAGCTTGCAAAAGCATCTTCAGTCACTACAGTCAAGAGATTCATATCTACACTAGGATGTCTGTTATCTTCTGAAAGAAAGTATTTAAAGTTATAGGAGACGGCTTCAGATTTAACTGCTTCGATCCACAGCACATGCTATCATTTGATAAGAATCCAACTGAGATTTAAAAAATTAAAATCAACATATGAAGAAAGTTTCATATATTTATATGCATACATATAATCCAATATTGCATAAAATATTACAATATTCAATAAGATATTACTGGATTATAAGAAGAAGAAAAAAGCATAAGTACAACGTATTTTCCAACGCTTTCAAACATAAGTACAGAAAGCAAAACGTAGGATCTTATTAAATTTTTTAGAGAAATTGAAGTTCAATTAATATCAGAAAATCATGAACAAAAAGATAGATTCTCTTCTATTTTCTTTTTTTAACTTCCATTCAAGTTTTCCCCCGTAAATAAACAAAAAGATCAAAAGCATGAGCAAATATATTTACATGATCATCAACATCAAACTAAAATAACTCCAAAAAACTATCATATGAAACAGTGAGAACAGAAGTAGATAAAAGATCGGATTCAGGAGAAAGCAAAACAAAAAATTAACTTAAAATAAAACCCAGATGAAAAACCTTACCGAGTCAATAATCCATAGATCTACCCGGAAATGAAGAACTGAGTCTTTCAGATTTATCTTCCATAATGAAAAAAATAATAATAATCTCAATTAGAACTTTTTTTGTTTTTATGGGTATTTTTTAAGTGAGAGGGTAGGAGTTCTGAGAAAATGAACAGCTTCTCATCTCCATTTCCTATGTTACTGCTGCTTTTTCTTTCATTTAATTTTAAAAAAGTTGAAGAGTTTTTTTATTTTATAAAATTGAAGTGGACTGACTAATAGAAAAAAGATAAAAAAAAAGAAAAGAAAATGACGTTATTCCCCCTGTATGTTGACCAATCAAATTGTAACGCCTCGTTTCCATAAAGGAAAATATGCCATTAAAAATTAAAGCTAGGGTTATTCTCGTCATGGAGATTTTCTTATTCTGGACGTGGCGTAGTTTTATTGGTTTATGATGTTTTAAGTAGACAGACGACCTAAGTTTTGTGTAATAATACTTTAACATTGTCTTCCGGTCAAATTGCTTAGAAATTCAACTTAAATTCACCCTACATTGATGGTAAATTTTCGAAACAAAGTAATTATCAGGTGCAACATCACTCACGGGAAACACCAATAATCGCTTAGTTGGCAGCTTTTCCTTGGCTGGATATGAACGAAACCCATACGATCCTGACACCTCATTTGGTGTCGATATGGGGGAAAGTAGGGAAAATATGCTCTTTTACTAAAGTGTAAGGGCAACCGAGAACCGGTTGAGGAAGTGGAAAGGTTGGGAGATGACCGGTTAAGTGAGTAAAAGGAGGGGATGTGACCGGAGGTTCCGGTGAAAGCGCGGGCGTGCGCGAGAAGAGGAATTGAACTGGGATTTAAGAGAAATGGAGTCCGCCAATCCTAATGGACTCTTTTAAGAGTACGAAGGGCGGACTTTAAAGACCTTATCAATTTTGGTTAATTGTGGATTCATATCACAAATGGAAGGAAACAAAAACAAAAAAGGCGTGGAGCACCAACACGCGCAAAATTTTCAATACACACCATGTTTTTAATTCGTAAAAAATGAATTATTTATTTATATTTAAGACTTTTTCGAGTATCTTAGATTTCTTTTAAATAAATAAATTTATTAAATACACTTAAAAATAGATGCATATAAAATATAAGTTGAATTTAAATTACAATAATTAAGGCTCAAGTTCGATTCAAATATCTTTTTATTTTTATTTAACACATGTAATTTATAAAATTTAAAACCTCTTCAAGTATTTTAGATTTTTTTATGTTTTTGTAGGGACTTTATGATTTTAAGTGATTAATTTTCTTATGTTTAATAAAATATTTTTATTATGTATTTAATTTATGATTGTGGTTGTAAACCTTCATTATAATTAGATATTTTTTATTTTTAATAAAATCAACGACTTCTATAAAAAATTGACTATGTTTCAAACTTTTTAAAAAATAAAATTAATAAATATTAAATAAAAATATTCTTAGAAAAAATATAAATAACTTAAGTGAACTTGAATTTATTATTTTATGAAAAAAGAACTTATTAAAATATGAAATGAATATGTCACGTCGTTATTTTAAAATTTAAGAATTTTTATGTTCTTTTATATGAGATTAATATCCATATCTACTTTTAACGAGTCATATTCCCTTATTAGTTCTTGTAACATTTTCGTCACGATATATTATTATAGTTGTTCATTTTAGTTATTTCATTTCTTAAGACATTGAGTAGAAAATCAATTAGTTAAAAAATTATTTTTACATCACTTATCATAATAATATTAATTTTATCAGAAAATATTGGAATAAAAGTAATGATTCAATAATAAATATATGATCCCACATTTCAATTCTTTCACATTTTATAATTTGATTAATAAATTGTTTTTTTAGAAATTTAAAAAGTAATTTAAATTTTTTATATTTTGGTTCAATGATCCACTTTTCTCACGTGGATGCATAATTAGATAAAACTATTTGTAAACCGTTAATTTTATTAAAATAAAAAATATATAAATTACAATTGAATTTTATAACTATAACCATAAATTAAAATGTATGATAAGAACATTTTTCCTATAATCATTATAACAAGAAATTAGTCACTTAAGATCACACACTGATACAAGAAAAATATTAAAAACCTAATCAAATCAACTTAAACAAAAGGTAGATACGAACAGATCTGATCGCATTCGTAAACAAACTACAAAAAGAGCTATTGAAATACCACCGATAAACTGTAAATCAGATCAAACGGCGTGTGAAAACTATCTACGAATGTAAATCGTGTATTCAAATCTAGTATAAGGGTCAAAAGCAGGGAAGATCGGCATAATAAAAATTGTGTAAAGTATCTCTTTTTGTAATTTTTAAATAAACTAGTAGTTAAAAATCGTTGGGCTTGACTAGTATCGATATTATGCTTTATGATATCGATATCACTGTGTAAAGTAGTATCAATACCCCTTTGAATATTTGTACATATTTTGCATTCTGGAATTTAAACAATTTGAAAAACAACAGACAGTATCGATACTTAGTATCGATACTTCTCTTACCTTTGGTATCGGTACCACATGAACAGTATCGATACTGTAAAAACAATATCGCTACTACGTATCCAGAAAACTGATTTGTGCTCAAATTTTAGTTTAATAGACTTTGAATTATTTTTAAAAAGTTTAAACAAATTCAATTAAGTCTAAAAAAATTTGATTTAATTTATTATATTAAAACATTATAAAACATGTTTCAACAATATTCTCGAACCACCTTCAATTTAGTCGGCTGCGATCTGCTCTTAATGCAAGAGACATTCAAGCCGAAGGCTTCAACTTGCTGCCTGATTTTGATCTGCAACAACATCAACTGATGAATGAGGTACCTGGCCTTTATCAGCCATCAACGAGTTCAAGTTCTTTTAACCGTTCTGGTCGAATGAAGCCCCTGACCCCATCAAACCTTGATGATCTCTTTTCTGCTGAGAGCTCCTCTCAACGGTACTCTGACCAAGCGTTGGCTGCTGCTGTTTTCTCCCCAACGCATAAGTCGGCTGTTATCAATCAATTTCAGCAACAGCAAAACATGCTATCATCTATTAATACAAAATTTTCTCCTAAAAATATCGAGCATCCTTTCTTGCACACTTCTCTATCCGGTCGAATGTCTCCTCGAAAAGTCGAACCTATCTCACCAATGAGCTCTCGGGTTTCAATGTTAGCTCAACGGGGGAAGCTGCAAGAATTTCGCAGCCTAAGCTCAGGGGAGTTCGGCTCTGGCTCGGCTGCCATTGTTGGTTGGCCAGTTAATTCATAGTCAAAATGGGGATCATCCAATGGGCCGGACTGGGCTGTCAATACCGATGGGTTAGGCAAGCATCGTAGGTCATCGTCATTTGAACTATGTAATGGAGACGAGCCTGATTTATCATGGGTTCAATCTCCCGTAAAAGAATCGCCCACTGAGATCAAAGAGAAAATTGCAGTACCGGTCTCGGGTGATGGTTCTAGCATGAACTCCGATCCAGTCGATAATGCCGCATTAGGTGCTTGGCTCGAGCAAATGCAGCTCGATCGACTTGTGGCTCAGCAAAACTGAAACCGGTTTCGTTGAGCCCTCCTGAGGTAGAGAGACAACAAAAAGGTTCTTGCAAACTACATTCGAATTGTTTCTTCGGATTTTCGGATTCTGTTGGTGATTGAATGTTGAAGGAAAGATTAGAATGGAAACTTCAATGTTCACCAATTAGTATCAGTATTGTTACAACAACAACAGTTAGAGCAAGATGTAACAACCAACTAAACTTCTGGCGTAATTCCTGTTTCAAATAGCTTCATTGTTATACATATAAATTTCCATAGCTTATGACATATTATTCTTCAATTTGATAGACGGGTACTGTTTTTCCAAATTTAATAATAAAAATGTGGGTTTTTAAGGACTATTATCTTTCCATGACTAAAGTAAAGTTATGTGGATAAGAAGACAATGGAAAATTGCAAAATGTCTCTCACTACATGCGTGATAGAAAAGATAAAGAGGGTGATATCTCTATCAGATTAATAAAGGGTTAATGTCACATTAAGTCCCTGCATTTTCGTTGGATGTTCAATGCGGTACTAATAAGGGTTTATATTTCTTTTGAAAAATAAATCAAAGAAGAAAATAAATATTTGGATCGACGACATATAAGTCCATTAAGAACTATAAAGTTAGAAAAGAGACATATATTCTGCTTTGAAATTTTACATTAATTACTTTTCCTCTTTGATTTATAGCCTTCATTGAAATAATAGAAAAGCGAATCAAAAGTCTTCGACTTTCGGTGCCTTAGCCGCTACCCACAAGTATTTTTCTCCGATAAATAGGAAAAAGAATAGAGTCAAGATTTACCTGAAGGGCGTGTTTGGTTCAAGTCATCTCACATTATCGGGGAATGAAATATCATTTTCCCGTTTGGTTGACAAACATTCCCATCCCCCAGTAATCCTTTATTCTCAGCAGTGATGTTTTAGGGATATATTACCAGGAATGTGATTAACCACTTCCTTTAGGTATTATTGGATTACCGGCGTTTTGGACTAAAATACCCTTAATATTTTTTTCCCAAAAATATCATTCTTCTGTCGTTTAATAAAAAAATTCTACGAAGGTTAAATTATAAAATTATCCTTAAACTATTTTAGATTTACAAAAAAATCTATAATTAGAATTTTATATAAAGTTCAGGGGTTAAAATAAAAGTTTACCCTTTCATTAAACCTATTTATCTTTCAATTTTGTAAAAAAAATATATATATAAATTTTATGAATTTAAATTTTTTAAAGAAAATATTTAAATTAATTATATTAAAATTATAGTAGATTTCAAATTATTAAAAAAACAAATATATAATAAGGGTAATTTGATAAAAATATACATTCCAATAATCTTTTATTCCTTTAACCAAACATTATAATCTTACATTTCTGCTAAATTAACTAAACACAAAATACAACATTCTCAGTAATCTTATTCCCGTCGGTAATCTTATATTCTATGAACCAAACGCACCCGAACTGTTTTATTTCCAATGCTTTGATTTTTTTCATCATTGTTTGAAAGTAAAATAAATAAAGAGATATAAATTTAATATAACTATTTATCTATCTAACCCATAAATCAATGTGATTAAGGAGTAGTTGA